ATGCAACACAAAAGAGTACAGTATTATTTCAAGTTGTTTTGTGGATATACGGAAGACAGAAAAATGTTTTCAGCTGTATTCGTTCACCAGAGAAAAACTTTTCATATGAAGCTAATTTTTTCATATCTTTCACTATGCAACTAATACAAAAGCAGTATAAGAATTTCTTTTCTTAATATCCAACCGAAGAGTTGAGGTGTGTACAATGATTAACATACAATGGGTGCCTGGAATTATTTTGCTTTACCTGCAGTTTTCTTATATATGTAAAACAAAATAAACTTTCACCCATTCCAGGATTTCAAGAACACAGAGAGAGAGAGGGAGAGAAATATCTATAACAAATTTTGTTGCTGTCTGACTGATTGCTTCGGGAACAATAAGTCTTCCAACTCAAGCTTCTAGCTATTCAAATACGAACGCTTCTCAGAAGCCATTTGGACCGCATCTGCATTATTAAAAAAGAACTTTTGGGGGTGAAATCATCATTGGGTATTTCAAACAAAGCATTCAGTGCTCCTGTTACTACCTGCTGACCTAGAGAAATTTCCCAGAAACTTTTGTTCGAAAAAAATGAGTTTTATATTTTTAAGAATTTCTAGTCTGACAGCAAGATTTTGGTGTATTTCATATGTAGATGAAAAAGAAACTAATTTGATTTTAATAAAGAAGAAAAAAACAGCACCGAGTAAGGAGACAAAATTTAATTTTCTTTATAAATATTTTTCTCAGACAGTACCTTTATGTGTAGTGTTTTTCAAGTTATGAGAATAGCGTGTTAGTGCATGCATTTTGAAATCAGATTAATTTAATTAATATATATGGATATGCTGAACAAGCACACTTTCGCACATATAAACTGTATATTAGTACATACATAGAAATGAAATAAAATTTGAAAACAAAGCAATTTAAAAACTACTGTATAAAAATGATTAAAAATTTGTTTTTAACTCATTTTTTTTCGTTATATACATTTACTCCTGTTTTGTTATATGCATTTACTTAATTTTATTGTGTTATATGCATCTGTTAGTCTTTTTAAAAAATTTTTAGATTATTTGAGTATGGCGTAGGAAATGAGATCTATCAGCTGAAAGTAAATGGATGTCTCCATGGACGACTTTCTAAGTAAAATGTACTCGTGTTCATGTTACACATAGGGGAAATCACAAAACCCAACCATGCAACCAGTTCATTTGTTTGGGTTCGAATATGAATCGAATTAGCGGTAGTCAGAAATCTTAGCCAGGAGGCCATTGATTGGGTTTGTCAGATTTGGAAACCTAATAAATAGTATTTTATAAATATAATATTATTAACCCCTTGAGGACCAGCGTGCCGGAAATAAAACTCAGTCACGGGAACGAACGCTCTGAAACGGAGCGTCAGTACCGGCCCGCGCATTTTAAGCAGTTAAGCCTAAGTTTACAAAAAAATTCGTATAAAATCAGCATTTTAATAAAAAGACTCCAAATTTATAAATTATATATATACTATACTTCGATTTAATATGTATTAAAATAAAAAATATAACGTTAATACAAATGAATGAAATATGCAAAAAACTAAAATTATTACTATGCACATGAAAACAAATACTATACACAATAAAACAAAGCTGCAAATATTACAAACACAAAATAAAAAAAGAGGAAATTAAGAATAATAATATATTCTGAATAAAATCGAAATTTAAAAATTCTGCTGTGTGTGATATAGTTCAAAACAAGGATCCACACAGAGTCCAACATTGCATATTTTGCACTCATAATATGATGTTTGTTTTCGATTTTTTTTTAGCACATACGACACATCTTCTTCTACTTTTATTTCCTTTCCCATCAATATAAATTTTTGGAAAATGTCTACCAGTTAGACGAAATGGTTGAATGCCCGGTAATTTTGAACAAGTTTTTGAGCTCCTTGGTTTAGCGAATTTTCCTATTATTTGATGAATAACTCTGGATCTGAATTCCAAAGCAGATATTTTCTCGCCTTTTACCTTCGAATATATTACATTTGCATTTAGAAATACCATATCTAACAAACCAAAAAACAGCTTTTTATACCATTTTACGGTTTTTCTAAATGCTGGATAGTGATGAATAATAGAACCGCCAATGTCAACACCCCCCATATTGTGATTATACTCCACAACGCAGAGTGGCTTCAAAATGTCCTTTCCAGTCTTTCGGTCTTTTTTACCAATTGGCACAATAACGCCGTCATGTATAGTTGATAACATCAGCACTTTTTTCTTTTTGTCATTAAATGCAAATAAATTCACTGAATTTTCCGATCACATATCCCTAAACTTCTACGAAACACACACATAAAAAAAAAAAGGCGCCAAAACCGAACATAAATATTTTACTCTTACCCGTTGCTAATCCGTTGAATGTACTCCCCCATATTCTCCTTGAAAAAAACAAAGCAATAAACAAGTCACTTGAACTCATACGTGCCCTTTCAAACACCCGTGTTTCCCAGTTGTTTATATTAACTAGAAGAAATTCTTTCTTCCATTTCACTATTTGATTGATTCATCTATTTCGAAATCTCGCTCTGTCAAACGTCAAAAGACAAACGCAATTCTACTCCAACATTTCAACTAATAAACGTTCCATAAATTTCCACAATCTGTCAAAATATAAACACAGCGAGCAATAAATCCCAGCCCTTTAAAGAGCCGTGATTCTCACTTTGTTTACATCAATAAATATATCAAATACAGAAGCATAGAACAGAAACCAATGCCCGTTCATGAAGGTCAAATACCATATGAGTCGACCGTTGTGAAAACCGTTGCCGTTTAACGCCATCTAGTAGCATTTAAAAATTCAAATAAAACGTTCCGATTACGCATACGCGACGCTGGTCTCTCCATATCAATCGGAGCTCTTCGCGTGGAAGCGACGCTGGGCTGATAAGAGTGGAATCGCTGCGTCGCGTCCACGCAACCTTGGTCATGAACGGGTTAAACGAATTGGATTTATATAAACAAAATAAAATTCTTATATCGAACACAACTAAATCTCGATATAACTTACACTGATAAACTGATGTGTAATAACATTGGTAAATTCAAATACTAAGCGGAATATACATTAATTCTACATAGATAATTTTTTTTAATATATTTCGCTGAGAATGTCTGGCCACAAAATCCTGATTATATATACCCTTATTTTAAGGTTATCACATATCTGATGGTTTGACTTTTACCTCAAAACACAAAGAATCCACAAACTTCAATAAAATTAATAACTTTATTTCCCTGTTGAAAATTCTCTGGATCTTTTCAAATATAAAAGCACACGCGCCAAGCAGTTTTCTTTAAATAAATATATGCAGCAACGAGAAGATGCGCTTTTGACAGCAATTCGTTTCGAAAATCGAAAATTTTTCTAAACTTAAGAAATTTGTCACTTAAATTAATTTTTCAGTAAACAAAAAACAAAATAGAATCGCATATTATTAAAAGTATTTTATTGATAATTCAGATTCTGAAAACAAGAACATTGTTGTTATAAAAAACAAAGGAAAAAATAAACAACATATTTCATTCAACGGCGGCCAACTTTGGCACATGCACTTTTCAACCGAAAAATATTTACATGTTATGGATAATGTTTTATTTGATTGTGGCAAAGTACTCGATGGTTATTTGCCTAAGGTGAAGAATGCCGTTGGAGGACTGCCTAACGGAAATTGGCTTGAATACATGTTACACAAATGGAAAACTAAGAATATCATCCTGGCAGCCAGCCCGTTTGCCGGGATTCGAACCCTGGACAGAACCACTAGTTGTTCTGTTAGACTCCGCTCAGTCGCTGGTGGGCTGTCCGATAACGGAAAAGCTCAAAATTTCATATTAGAGGAAAAGTGGTAGCATAGTATAATTCGAAGTTATTGCCATTTCAGTAATGTGAAGCGGTTTCAAGAATGTTTAATTATTTTATTTAGCTTATGGCAAACTAAATAAAATAATTAAACATTCTTGAAATTGCTTCTCTTAACATATTGGTAGTTTGACCTGTATTCAAACCTCCGTGAACAGGCTGATTGCATGGGCGTTTTTATGGTTTCAACATTTTGTAGTGCAAGATTGTTTCCCTTAGAAAATCTGTCACGAAAGCATACCTCCCCTTAGGCAGATCACCTTCACGTGCTTAATAATCTAACAAGCCAAATTAAATACAGCCCGAGCAAGGACTCATAGTCACCGCATCATGAAAAGCCAATTGAAATTGGCTCATATTCACATTAAACATGGGCAGCAAAAATTCGCGAAAACTGGTATGCAGGCAATCCATTCGTCAGGATTTGAACCCACTTCAAACTATCAGTATTTAACGATTTTACTGCTACGTCGTTGGCAGCCTTTTGTAGTATCTATAAAAAAAGTAATCGCAAAGACACAATCATTGCATACCTACGGATGAATTAAGTTCGGAATTTAAAGAATAACTTTCATTCATGCTATTGCTGTTAGCATTGACATTTGGACAGATGTTAATTTATTTTAAATCCTTTTAATGTAATTAATTTAATTCTGTAGGTAATTGTTTTTCTGACTGTAATTTTTTGTGCGAAGTATATCTAACCCTTCCGTACAATAACTGTTTTTGATCAAAGTCTTATCAAAGTATACTGAACTTCAGTAGCTTGCTGTTTTCATTGGAACATTCTTTATAATCATAAATTAAGGCAGTCGGTTATAAAAAAAAAAAAAAAAAAAAAAAAAAAAAAATTGTTACATTTCAGAACTTGAACCAAAAAGAAATAAGATGTGAAAAACCTGCAAGTATTGAAATTTCTTTTTAAATTTAAAATTAAAAGAATTTTAATGTAATGTTGCAAAATTTATTTGCAAGCAAAAAGTAATGTCATGAGTATATTTGATAATTGTTATCTTTAATGTAAGTATATTGAATTTGTAACCTTTTTGCTATGTATAGTTCTTTGAATTGTATATTCATATTTTATGTAATTAGATCCTGTTTTGGAAAATCTGGAGGGCAAACCATAAAAAGGATAGTTGAAGAAAATGAAACTGCTTCATGTATGGTAAGTTACTTTTCAGTGCATAAGAAATCAAGTGTATAGTAATTATTAATATTGATAAAATAATATATGATATTTTTAATAATTATTAGAAAAATGATAAATACCTGGATGCTGTGCAATATAATCCATTCACTTTTGGTTCCAATTTTAACATATTGTAAAAAAGCCAGTATCTAGAATTTAAATTGTAGGTGGATTAGCTAAAGCATATGGATTGTAATGATTACATGACATGACATGTCAAAAGTGATCTCCATTGGTGTGCACACACATTTACAAGGGTACTAGTGATTGCTAGATAGCTAAAAAACTGATTTCATTCTGGTTGCTTTCTTCCTGTGTTGTGATACTGCATGGTTTGTTATCGTGTGCTTAACCTTTCAGCAGTTTCAACACTGGAAAAAATTGGGATGGCAAATCAAAAAATCTAGACCAAAGTTCTTTTGAAGTGGCATCATCAGGATATCAGCCATGCTTCATCTGTAAGGCATGCTTTTGCCATGATATTTAGATTTTTAGCAATGAAGTTCTCAAATTGCCAATAATCCGTGATTCTGTTTGTGTCATAATTTTCTTGACCATCTTGCAGTGATCTTTGCCATGCACATTCATCAACATACCTGCTGTTTTCTTTTTTTTTTGTGGGGGGGGGGTAATAAATGTTTTTTTTTTTCTCTTCTTCTCTTCTCTTTCTCTCTCCTTTTTCTTTTTCTTCTTTTCTCTTCTCTAATTCTCTTCCTCTTCTTCTCTCTTTTCCCTTCGTTCTCTTCCTTCCTTTTTCCTGCCTTCCTAAATGTTTTCTTTTTTCTCTTCTCCTTTCCTTCCCCCCCCCAGACTCCAAATTTTCCTAGTAATCCACTTTAGCATGCCTTAATAAGCTCATGTTATCCTTTAGATCAGTGATTCTCAAATTTTTGACTAACACATACCATCTAAACAAAAATTGAAAACCTTTAGTACGACCACTACAAAGTACTACTACCACCACCACTCTTGAACAAAGCTCAGATCGCATAAATTTATGAGTGTTAGAGAAAAAACTCAATCAGGTTGGTTGGGGGTTTTAATTTTTGAATTTAATAGTTAAAAATACTTTGTTAAAAAGTTGCATACCACCTATTTTTCTTCTCTTGTGTACCACTGGTTAAGAATGCCTGCTTTAGATAAAGACCAGAAAAAATTTATTGTGGGCTAATACAAATTGTTCAGTTATGCTGTAGAATACAAAAAACATGACACAGTGCTTGCACTAGTCACTAAGTTTGCATGGCTATTTAACCCTTTGGCTGTTGCAAGATTAAGTTATTCTTTCCTCCCAAATACATCTGATATCTCTCAGTTAAAGATTTGCAATACAAGCTTTTTTCGTTCGTGCCCACTGTTGTCCATAACTCGAATGCGAGTTGAGCTCATTGATTACCATCAAAAGGTTAAAACCAAACTAACCAACACATGTCTGCACACAAATAACATATATTGTGTACTACACTATCACTTATGTCCACTGTATAGCCACAATAGTCTTGCTGCTTACTTGCTTTTCACACACTCCTGTCTCCATAGTTTTTAATTTTTTGGCTGTACTCATTTCCATTATGAAACTGGAAAACTGTGGGGCTGATAGCTAGTGGGGAACACTGCATTTTATACTTTATTTGGGTATTTATTTGTACATATATCTAAAAATACACAAATCAAGGAATTTGATACCATTATGTGGATACCTTCAACTTATTTTAATAGAATCAGTTTGTGATAAAATATAGTACAAAAAATAATTTTGGTGATTTTAATGAAAAAATATTCTGTCAATCTGATTAGCATCTTTTATTAATTTTTTTTTTTTTTTTTCCCATGGTTTGTTGCTTTGATGACACCAGAGAAAATCTTAAATGCAATGTGCAGTTTGGTTCAGTGCTTGTACTAATGATGCTGAATTCATGATTCTTCACTTTAAAAGTTCTCAGCTTTATGCTTAAAGTTGATAAAAAGTGACTTTTTGGAAAGAATTTCTGGTACTCTAATTATCTGCCCAATCTTTCTGTAAAGTTACCAGTGGTTGGTGACCAATGTTTCACCAATCTAACATACAAAAAACAGTAGCCATATTTAAAAATTGGGGTTCCTTAAAAATTACATAAGACACCAATAAATTAATAAAATTAAAAATGCCAGAAATGTTCATAATGAAACACTAAAAATTATATTAAAAAAATCTGTAACAAAACAGTGGAAATCAATAAACTAGCAACAAATTATTAAAAGTGCATCAATTAAAAATCCATAACAAAATACATAACTTTAATTTTTTCTCCCACAATCTGTTTCAACTTAGAAAACATCAGGGAATTTTAGAATTCTCAGTATCACAGAGCAATTTGAAACGCATTAACATGTTTTAACTTTAAAAAAATGAGAGAATTTCACAGATTAACTTCTTTGAATGCGTGTTCCTACTTAACTTCTTTAAATGAATGTTCCTACTTTCTCTACAACTAGGGAATTTTTTTTTTTTTTTTTTTTTTTTTTTTTTTTTTTTTTTTTTTGCAACATAATTATTTTGATTAGCATGTAAATTCAACAGTGGTATTACAATTCATTATAAGAAAAAAAATCTCTGTACACTAATCACAGCAAGCAAAAACCACAAACATGATCCTCAAATTTCAAAACTGTATGCATTATGTCATAATATGCACACAACCATTTGTGGGTTGGCTGCTTTGGCACCATATTGCTTTACCTGGTTATTCTTGTCAGAGTTGGGCAGATAATCAGAGAATATCAAATTCACAGTAATTTGCTGCAATGATTCTTATTGCTAGAAAATAAAATTGAGCATAACTCCAATTCACAGCAAGAAGCTTAATATATAGGAAAGCTCTCTTTTTGGCAAGATGGTAGCACCTAATTTTGTTGATTTTTTGATAAATTCTTGGCAATAAATTTGAAAAGATAAATGAAAGAAAGACAAGAGTATTGTTAAAGGAGGATAACTGTGGCAAAGACTAAATAAGATTTCATCGAACCAAACTTGATCCAGTATATCAAGAAAATTAGTAAGATGAATGCAAAGTGTTCTGAAGTTGAAGGTGAAATTTAGAGGGTGATATGGGAGAGGCTGGGGAATTTGTTAATGGAAAGTATGGATAGACAATCTGAATTTGAGTGTAATGATTTCATAACTTTGCACAGGATTGCTTTATTTTCTGAAAGAATGTCAACAGCATTGTTAAAATAAATGTGACTTTTTCCAGAAGAAAAATTAGAAATTCTCTGTAGATTCCCCCCCTTCACTTAAATCTGATTTTAAATAGTGCAGTTATGTTCCCCATGTAAAATTCCAGAGTTCATCTTTTACAATATTCATTTGTTAATTACTGGTTCCAAGGCCATATTTAGATATTTTATATTTACCATTCATCAGTTGGATAGATTATTGGTTCAATGTAGAAATCTAGAAGCTGTGAAGCATCCCTATTGGCATATTGGAGATTTTATTGATTAGATTTTTTTCCTATGTGAGAATTACATAAAGAGTAATATTTTGTGCTTATTCACATAAAAGTAGTATTTTATGCTAAAACTGCTTTCATAACATTTTCTGTTTTATTTCGAGAAACTTTGTAATTGGACATATAGTAGAATTTCTATTAATTGAATCTCTGTCAACCAAGCCAACAATCAATTTTAAAGAAATCTTTGGGGAAATGTAATAATAACAGAATGAGTGTAGGAAAAATCTGCAATGGTAATTTTTTTATAATCGATTGAGATCTTGTGCCCTTTCTTATCATTGGTGTGTCCTTTAACATCTTCCTGCTGTTCATGGTTGGAAAATCTGTCATTTAAATGTGTTTAAAATAAAAGCAACATTAACTGACAATGAATTCATGGGTATGCAAAAGGATGCAAAAACTTTTTCAAGATGGATAAATGCAGAAAATAGTGAACCAGTTTTCAGAGATTTTAGTTTGTTTAATTTATGGCAAAGCATGTGAGAGCTAATCTGCCTTAGCGTGGGATGCCTTTGTAGACTTTTTAAGGAAAACTGGCCCATATTTATGTTACAAATGGATAAACCACATTACACATGGTCCTGTACATGAAAAATGTCGTGTATCCAGCCCATTTGTTGTGATTTGAAATCATGTTGAGCTACCAGTGTTTAGCCATTTTATAGCTCAACCTGTGAGGAGCAGTGAAGCTTAGAGCAGAGCTCTTCAATGTTTACAGCAACGGTCTGATCCTTTTCTTATTTAAATACTAATCACAAACTGACATGCTCATGTGGCTTCCGACAGAATAACAGTACTATCACAAAAAAGGAGTAACAAACTTTTTTTAAATATTATTTCTAATGCCAACACTAAAAATTCATGCAAAAAATCTGATAAGATTTTCATCAAGTGTTTACAATTTTTCTATATGTAGTGCTCTAATGAGTATTTCTGTCATTAAAAAAAAATCTTTTATGGACTATTTATTAAATTGAAGGGAAGCATTTTATCTTATAACAGAGGAGTGTGTTAAAATGTAAATAGTACTGGTACTCTGTTTTAAGAATTTCTCATAAACAGTTTCAGAAATTTAGCCCCTGTTAATTGAGCTTTTGATTATCTAAAGTGGTTACGGTTCTAATTACCTTGGATAATCAAGGTTCTACTATATTACAAAGTCCGAGATCTGGACACATCAGGATTTCGGCGATTTTGGATTTTTCCGAATATTAGATCATCAGTTTAAATCTAGTAAGATGGCATGTAGAAATTACAAAATTAAAAATATGAAATCATGATTTATGAAATAATGAAGCATTTATGATTTAAAAGGTATCAATGTTTCCAAGAAAAAGCTTAATATTTATTTGTTTATTTTATTAAACATTTCCTTTCAATGTAAGTTGTTAAAGTTGCTTTGTTTTTTGTGCTAATACTTTCTGCAGGCAGACATAATTTCTTGTTCAGTTTAAATCCTAATTTCTTGTTCCATTTTTCGAG